TATGTGTGTGTGTGTGTGTATGTATATGTATATGTATAGGTATGTATATATATATATATATATATTGGTATAGGTATATACCAAATCTTGTTTGTATTCATATCATATTAGGATATCATATATTCGTATATATATATTGGTATATTACATATCTTGTTTATATTCATATAACATATTATATTTGTCATTTATTATTTTTGTCATTGCCATTTGTGTTCTTGTATTTAACTCATTCAAAAGGTTGATTAGTACCTATGGCGTGGTGTATATGGTGTGGGGATTCAAGAGATGTTGTTGTTGTGATTTTAGGGTTTTAGAACCCCCTGAACTCCCAAAACCCTTAAACCCTAAACTCTAAAACCCAACTACCTTAAAATGTTTACCAGTTGTTCTGCGACTGTATGTGATGTGTATTTGCCCCTTGTCTTCATGCACCTGTGTCTCTCCCACTCCTCCTCTTCCAGGATCTTTTGACTCGAGTGATAGTTCGAGTGTGCAGTCAGAGATTTCCCGTGTGCGAGTCCCGTATGACCACCCACTGACGCAGCGCATACTTGCACGCACTAGCAATGCGATGCTAGATGACCTGGCCCACGCATACTTCTACTTTGCATATATTCAGGTATGCCTAGTATCTAAAACCCTTGCTTGATACATACACTATGCATATGCACAGGTATGGCCTGTTTTGCTTGCTTGTACCTTGCATATGTTCAGATATGCCTAGTATGTAAAACCATTTGCTTGATACATACACTATGCATATGTTCAGGTATCGCCTGTCTTGCTTGCTTGTACCTTGCATATGTTCAGGTATGGCCTGTCTTGCTTGCTTGTACCTTGCATATGTTCAGATATGCCTAGTATCTATAATCATTGCTTGATACATACACTATGCATATGTTCAGGTATGGCTTGTCTTGCTTGCTTGTACCTTGCATATGTTCAGATATGCCTAGTATCTATAATTTGCTTAATATTTATACCATGCATATGTTCAGGTATGCCACCACGCTGTATTATACATGGTAGCTCTTTAGTTGTATCAATGCGGCGGTGGTGTGATTAAGAAGCGTTGCAGGGGAGGAATCGAGGAAGCCCTTGGCCGAGCGTATGCATTTGTTGCTAAATTTCTACAAGGTCGAATATACCATGTGCCAATTCCCAACAATCCATTGCTGAACGTATCCATGCAATCCTAAAATTGAAATCCTAAACCCTGAAACCCAACCTAGATTCTAAAAAATAGGAATACTCAAAGCCCGAAACCCCCACTCCTTCTCCACAGTGGTCTGCAGGGAACGTCCCTTCGGAAGATGGGTCAAACTCTGTACGCAATGCCATAGTCAATGCTCTATGCGCGTGGGGTGAACTGTTATTCCACCGGCTCGATTTAAGTACCGAAATTCCACGGAGCTCGGCCGATTTTCATTCTGACAAATCAGGAATGCGGGTCGATAACAGTATTGAGGAATCTAGGAAGCGTACCGGTTTCGTGAATGTGGAAAACGGGACAGCCGAGGAAGGCGGTTTCGTGCTTCCTTCAAAAAATGGGAGACAGGTGGAGTGTGGGATGCTGCGAGATTGCCTTGCAGACCCCATGGCCACATACGACCGCCTGGCAAAAATTGTACGTACGCTATGTATATATCCTCCTTATACATATATATATGTGTGTGTGTGTGTGTGTGTGTGTATAGGTATATAAGTATGTTTATGTTTATGTTTATGTATACGTATATATATATGTATATG